TATTGGTATCCACATTAAGGTTTTTCTTATTATGATTTTCTTATAATGTTTACATTTATTCGTTAAGTTTCAACTCAATGTGTAATATATCACAAAAAATTATTATTTATTCTAGATAGATTCTATATTTATATTCTATATTTAGATTCTATAATTTTTTCGATCTCTGTGTACCGAACTGTCAGTTAGATCAAATGCGTAGAATTTTTTACGTTTTTCGATCATCGCAGAAGCGAATGTCGAACGATAGGATGGCTGGCGGAAAATCGAGCAAGAAGGGAAAAAGTAATTCCACGCTGTCGCAATCATCACTGCAGGTCTTACCCTTTTTCACATTCGACGTAATCACATTTCCTTTTTTTTATTTTTTTCAATGTATACGAGACACTTTTACTCGATCGAGCGATTATCTACATTTCTACTTGAATTCTAACACTTCTAAGTCCGAATATATTCTCTTCTTCGCTATCATTGAAATAAAGACAATAACAGACAAGATCTATATCTAAGGGAGTATATGAGTATTTCAGGGGAGAATCGCATTTTATTGCGGATGAGAAAGAACACGGAAATCCTGAATATCGTGTACATAATACATATATTAAAACATGTGGAACATAAATTTGTGAATAATTCAAAATATAAAAGATCGATTTATGTTTTTCACATAAATCTTAGATGTCTGTCAATCGGTATATCTTCACTTAGGGAATTTATGTTGGAAATGTCGGACACGGATAAAGTCAAAGCTTTGTGCGATGTTAAACATCACTGTGTAAAACGAACATTTCTTCGCTACACGAACTATGCGCGAAATTTATGAGTTGCAAGATCAGACATTTCTCGATATAGCGCGAAAGGATCCGGAATTAAAACAATTCCTGGAAAATAGAGAGAGAGAGAGAGAGAGAGAGAGAGAGAGGAGGCGATACATAAATCATCATTTTTTTATATATATGAAATATATTTTATGTAAAGTAAGAAGAAAAATATATACAAAATATATGACATCTTTTTATTATATCGTAGTACGTCAAATCTTCTTCGTGAAAGATATCACGTTTACGACTTCCAATTCATCATTCTCTTACACGAATCCACCCTCTCAAAAACCGCTGAGTCTATTCGTAAATATTGGTTCCTCGAAGCAGTAAAAGCACCCTAAATGGCACACTTGTCTTCAGAACTGACAAGCTTTATGTTCCTTTGATAATAATTTATATAGAGGACCTAATTTCATATTGATTGAAGATGATGCTTCATATTATATTATAAGAAGTTTTTTGCACATAGAAACGTAATTTTAATATCCGTTCAAAATAATCAAGATCAAAATAGTAATTAACGTATGCGCAAATATATATATAATAAATGTAAAAAAATTTGACGGAATAACAGAAATAAATGAAATTTGTGGAAAGACTATGTGAGTCCATTTAAATGACTTATGTTCATTTTATAATGCAATCTTCTTAAGATTGTACATTATAATTAGTGTTATTTTTACTTTATATTCAATTTTTGCTATTAGTACAATATATTTCTAGATATGAATCGTGGAAAATGTTTATATTTTTCATCCCCTATCATCCTCGAACGGTCGGTGTCATTTCAAAACACTGTGACATATACGTAAAAATAGGTACAATAAATGTACGATAAATGTTAGATATCTCTGTGTGTGTTTTAGTAGATTTTTTAATTGTCTATTTTTTCTTTTTGCTTTTAATTGTCTATTTTTTATTTTTATGTTTTCTTTTCAAATTATTTTCGTGACTACAGATATTCATTCCGACACTCTTTAAGGGTGTAAAGGGCCGTGTAAATTAACTTATGTGTAATTTACCTACGAAATAAACAAAAGAGTAAAAAAATGAGAACATAATTAAGGGAGTAAGTGAGTAAGACAGTGAGCTAAAGTTACCGAGAGGTGGAACAACCCAACTTTAATCCGAGTTATCTGTCATGGGGATTAATAATGTCAGATGAAATTATCGGAGAATATAAGAAATGGGGATTTACTTTTAATGCCTTTGAGTAAAACGATTAAAATTAACGAAGCATGAGAGAATCATAAACAATTTAATTTTATCATAATTCTTATCCGAGGAAATTAGCAATTATATGTATAATATAATGTTATATGTATAATGTATTATACATATATAGATATGTGTAATATATATATGTTCTATAAATATATGTATATGTCACATAAGTATGTATATATAAAATAAAACGATCATCAATCAAATGATTTTCCCCTCACCTATATGTTTTTATGATATCGTAAGGAGTTCTCGGTTCTTCATCCCCCTTTAATACGGTTCACGGATGTGAAGTATTCGATTTTCATGCATCATCGAACTTCGTCTCGCTCCTATTCACCTCAGACTCGGCAAATTGAATATCACTGGACTTCCGTTCCTCGACATTTCATAGAGCATTCTCTCATCCTACTGATCCCACATCCTACACAGCAACTGACAGCAACTTGATCTATTTTACTTCAACATAACGTTCAGGAATCGGACGTTGAATAATTCGCATTTAGATATCAAGATAGCATTACGATTCCGCGCGGTAGATCGATCAAAGGAAGAACTTTGAGTTCCGTACATCGTTCCAATAATCATTTTTCAAATTACGTAGAATTCTTCGTATTCACTTCCAACAATCACTATAAATTGGGTAAATCGATAAATTTCCTCTTCAAACGTATAAGCAATTTTTTTACACTCCCATGGGATTGACGCATACTAATTACAAAATAACGCTTTTAAAGCGATGAAAAAACTTCGGTGCGTTATTTAAAATTAAAAATAAGTCCATCAAATTTTTTCCTTATTGAAGTCACGTGATAGATAACTGCAGCGTTGACGAAAAATCGATATGAAGACAAAATTAATTTTTATTTTTAATATCAATCGCAGAGAAATCTCTGCTATAACGTTGTTTACAGCGCGAGTGTTGCGTGCAAACTGTGACAGCGAACAGTCCATTGTAATACTCTGTCTGCGCATCCTCATGAACTCCTGCTGCTCCCACTCACATCCCTTCTCGTTCCGCTCATCCCTTCATAATATATAACAATCCTTGACAAAAAACTCACCTTTTTAGTGTATGAATAATTCATTCTGCTCTCAGTGAATTGATTATTTTCGCGCAATATTTATTTTTCCATTTGAAGAATTTTTGATTGCTATTTGTTTCCCTTAAACGTTTTATGCCTTCCTATAAATATTCCTATAAATATTAAATCCTTTTGACGTGTATAAATTTCTATATGCATTAACTTATTGAAAATTTTATTCGTTTTTCTGACACGTTTATTATTTTTATCAAATTAATACATATAAATTTAACTATTATATTTATTACAATAACTCTTTAAATAAGGTGACAGTTTGTTGATGAAAATATAAAAAAATCGCTAATTGTTTTTCTGAAATAATTAACAAAATTTGGAATAATTTCTTTTTACTTTTGTTTGAAAATGAACTACATATAGATAATAATCTATTCTTAATTAATCAATAAATTATATGCTTCTCGATATATACAGTATATAGCAGTAAATTATGCATTCGTGATGTTTTGATCGTATCCTTGAAATATCCTCATTGTATTGACGCATAGGCGAGATAATTAATGTTCGTTGCATGAAATGTCATCTACCGTCGAAGCTTTCGATTAATCGATGCTATATTGAAATTACCGAGAGCTTTCTAGTTAATTTCCTCGATAACGTTATTACTTGCTATATTTACTGGCCACGGAAATTTTTTTTATTTTTCAGCTGAATGAAATTTCTTCTCGTACATCACATGTCGCTTGCTTGGCAATATATTTCTTTCTTCCCTTATCACAATTTTTGGCAGCACCGCGCTATCTCTCTTCGACAAACTTATGTTTCCCTCGAGCGAAATTCTCAGTTAAATATTTTCAGACTATGATAGCTAAGATTAGAATTTAGATTGAGAACAGAATGGCTCCCGCAGATTATACTCTCTGGAAAATTAGCTGTATGTATACAGAGCTGAAACAGAGTTGCTTCAGATCTTAGGAATGAGTTCTCTTCACGTCAAAAGAAAAAAGAAAATTTATGCAAACATATAAATTTGTTGTTCTCCGAAGCTCTTGTTGGAAGAGTATCTTGGAAGTAGAAATTGCAAAACGTAATATTACGAGATTACGATGGAAATAAGTTTCAAAAAAACACAAATTGCTGAACAATCACATCTTTTAATGGCAGATTACAGGCGCAACAAACCACATATAATACACTTCGTTAGTTGTGCCTGAACCGTGTAAATTAACCGTGTAATAAAGGTTCCCATAATTTATGTGCCGTATATCGCACACAAATTATTAATAAGAGTTGCTAGGGTAGGTGACAAATAATTCATCAGAAGATTATAAAGGTAGGGATAGAGATAAATTGATCGGTCTCGAAATGTAAATTTAACTTTTCATTTTGAGCCTTTCTTCGTTCGATTATCTGAAAAGGTCAATTCACCCTTTTCGACATCTTCTATAACCGATCGTGGTAGAAGTTGTCTGTAAATTAAATTCACAATCACTCATTATAGGAAATTGCTTTTATATAATGACATAAACTGTCAATGTTTTCCTATTGCAAAAACTACTTGCAAAATCTGTCGTGTATTATATAATAATCTCTGTTCTCTTCAGGATATTTTGAAAAAAATGCAATTTCCTATAAGAGAATGTATTTTCCGCACATTAAACGGCTCCGTCTAATAAGTGATATTTTTCGTTTGTTTTATTTAAATTCCATAAAATAAATCATTATAAATTACCTCTATTTTTGGTACTGATAAAGAATATTTCTTATTTCCTATAACAAGTGTATAAAAGCTATTAATCTTTATTACAGATATCGAAGTCTGGTCACGTTTTCTGATACGCACTGTGCAAAGAATTATAAAATTTATATGAAAAAGTAAATAAAGTATTTCTTAGAGATCAAATCTTTTTCAAGATGGACTAAGTGCTTCCTTCAGAATATTGCTAAATTCTTTTAATTCGTTTCTCAACTTTTGTATATCCGTTTCTTCCATTTTCTTTTCGTATCGACGGAGATAACGTTGTACCAGTTGTGTCATAACTTCTGCGAATCTTTCATCCTTTTGTTCTTCTAGATCCTCCTGTAATAAAATATGGATTAAATAAATAAATCGCACTTCTGTTTTTATTTATTAATCATAAATCAATCTATTGTAATAACAATAACGCTTATAAATGGATAAAACACGAATAAAATATCAAAAAGAGAAACGAAAAATTATTCAATATGAAATGTTTACTTCTATTTTGTAAAATTTAATTTGATATTTGATTTAATAAGCATTGATATTTTAATTGGATTAAATCAGCATTGGTATTTTAATTTTAATTTAGTTTATTGCAAAGTTTTATGAAAAAGTATAGTGAAAATATTTGGAAATAATATACTGACTATGTAACAACAATTTATAAAATCCCATCGTGCCCGTTTACCAGGTGGTGGTTTAATCAATATTTTTATGTACTCGATCACCGGCCGCAATCCCGTGAAAATTGAGAAAATGCAGAATGGCGGTGGGAGCGTTGTTGTAAGCATAAAATCGACATAAGCCTGAAAAAGTAGAGTGATAGGAGGTCATATGCTATTGGCATTTAAAAATGGTTTACAATTTATTATTTTAACTTCACACGTCTCTCTCATTTTTTACATGAATATTATTTTTTATATTTTTTACATGGTTCGCTAGAAAAAAATTGTTTTCCAATATGAAAAATAAACGTCGAATATATGTAACATACTTATAAATTTTCACTAACTTCAGTACGACCAAAGATCCACTCTACATTGACATTATCAGTCACTTTGGTAAAAGTATTCGCCATACATGCAATTAGCATATTCAAAACGATTACCACGGAAATAAATTGGAAACCTGAAAAATAGAAAGCAAGTTATTAAGACGATTATCTATAAAATATATTTTCGTAGAGTGTCAATGAAATAGTAAATGCACTTACTGGCAAAGGCAGAATAACCGATAAATTCGGTGAAGGTATGATGATTAATTATTGTCTCTGAGTCCCTTCCACCTGGAAGATTTTCGATAATCACGTCGGCACTTTCTACGGGACTCATGCAAAAAACAGCCCAAAAGAGAGTCTTTAGAGTAGATTTGAGATCCACGAAAGAACTTTCTTGCTCGGTTTTTAGTTTTGATTCGTCATCAGTTTGCACCATTCCATTATAATATTGATAAAGGTGACACAATCCTGAGGAAACAATCTCAAGTTTATAAAGTAAACTTAAAAAAGTTTTTTTTTTTAACAGTGTTAAGCTGCTTTTCTTTAGATTTGTAAACACTAATGTTTTTAATATAGAAAGTTCTGGAACAATATTACTTTAAAATTATGCATAATTTGCTAAATAAAATTTCGCAACGATTCAATTGATACAAAGAAACTGATACAGAAGAACTTTATACAGATCAATATGTGTCATATCTTACCAATTGCAAATGCCATAACAATGATACCGAATATTGCAACAAAATGACCGACATCTCTAATCATTTTAACTAAAGAAAGTTGCAAAGGTCCTAGATCATAGTGTAGTTGGCAGATAAATAACAATTTAAAAAAGGCCATGATTGTTGCGACACAAAATATCCCTTCCGCTATCAAAGTCGGATCATATTTGTGCCAGTATTTTCTTTCTAAATCACGTTGACCATTTATTCTAACGTCGATTGCGGCAACTATCCAGAAGAGAAACGTCAGAATGAACAATATGATCATAACAAGCTCATACCTGCATTGTATAGGAAGAATATTTATATAAAAATAATCATAATATTTATATAAAGACGATCATAAATTATATATTAATTAGATTATAAAATTTGCAATATGAATTTTTATGTGCAAGATTTAATATTAATTAACGATTATTATCCATTAATTCTCGTCTTACCAGTTTGTACGCGTTCTAAAGCATCTAACCGGACCGTCCACAATACAGAGTCGAATGAATGCTATTGTGTATGATATCACGTAAATAGCGAGAACCCATTCGTATCCTGAAGAAATAAGTTGACTTAAAAAGAAATTTAACCAAAATCTAAGTTTAATCGGAGTTAATTAGACGTGCACCAGTATTGGGTGGCCCACGAAGCTGTTCGGTTTTGTCGCTTCGCGACTGCAAAAACACAAACGTGAGAAATATCACGTAATTCGCCACAGAGGAGAGACATTTATTAATCGGGATTTCATAGAACTTGGCCTGTTTCGAATTCGGTGCAAGCAACATGACGAACGCCATGATTGGTAGCATGACAATCCGCGGAATTATCGTCAAGCACTTGAGCAACGTGTTTCTGACCTTCCATTCATGCCACGTGTCAATCCACTTGCTCTCGACGAGCTGCAAAATCAAATATAACTTCTTGACAGAACTTCTTAATTTGCGAAAACTTTCGTGATAGAGTTTGCAAAGTATTTTTATAAAATAGTTCTATATTTAAAAATTTATTTTTGGCAAGTATTATATAAAGTTAAGCTTTGATTTTGCTATATAAATTCTATAAAATCGAATAAGAAATATTAAAATTAAGGAAGAAAGACACAAAAAATAAATCATTTTGATTTTTCATTTAAAATAAAAAAGTTTTTTATAATTTTAATTATCTAGTACTAATTACAGCAACGTTAAGACTTCGCCTAAATATCGATTATCACATTGTTGTAGTACCTGTTGTACATTTGGATGAGCCACAAAGGTTTTCTGCTCGTAATCCAAAGCTAGTAAGAGTCGGGGATATTCGAAACTAGAAGTACGACCAAAACCAGTGATTTGTCTTAATATACATCGAACTTCTTCGGCGGTACGAGCGCAATCAATCAACTCTGTGGCGAATTGAGACACCTCCTTTATTACAAAACTAAGTGGATTATTAACTTTTTATAAGCAACATATAATATCTTGATATATCGCAGATATCATCGAAATATATTAATAATAGATAATTTATCATTCTTCTATATGCAGACTGTCTTATTTAATTAAACGAATAATTTTGCTAATAATTATTAATATCCAATAAATTTGAATAAGGAATAAGATTTCACTAACATCGGACAATGCTTTATAATCAGGATAGAATTCTTTATCAAATGAAGCTTCCTTACTAAACTCGGCAGATAATTGAAAAGCTTTTAAGATGGGATCTTCTTCAGTTTGACAAAGGTATATTGGATTCGATATTGCGCTATATATAAACAATCTCATTTTTTCTAAAGTCACGATATCAACCTTTTCCCTTTCCGGTCTGTGAAATAAATTAATAATTTATGAAATATTTAATTAAATCATTATTTAATAAGTTATTCAATTGCGATATTTTCAAGTCATGACACTTGAATGAAAACATTTATAAATTAAAGATGCAAATGTTATCTTCAAACAGCTCGATATACAAACGTACTTGCAAACCTCATCGCAGTTGCAACTAGGCGGATGTGGTTTCGGCAGAATATGACGTCGGAATCTGAGTATGTCAATCATCTCGAAACGCCCGTATTGTGCCGCCACCGCGAGCGGTGTTGTATCATCCGGGAAATCGGGGCTATGAGTGACACCAGCGTATTCGAGACCCGGTGTCAATTCATTCAGCTTATTCAATATCAGCACAGCGATCCTCACTTGATTATCTCTGATTGCATGTAGATGCGTGTCGCCCGGATCGATATCCGGATGAGACAACAGGAACTCAACCATCGCCATATTTCTGTCGTTAACAGCAATATGCAGCGCACTCATACCCTGAAAATGAGGTATTCAATTAAGACCTCCTGAGTACTCAACATCCATATCGAATTGAATTGTGACGTTATAAAGAGAAATGTCATAAGCGACATGTTGATTTTTTTGCATATTTATTTGTAAATAAAGACAATTTGAATAAAACGAAATAATGAGATCGCTGTAAAATACTTGTAAAAATAGACCGAGACTATCATTATTCCCTTTAATAGTTGGTAAACAATTGTAAAAGGCACGTAAAGTGCATTTATTAGTTTTTTACTCAATGCGTAGCCTATTTTCACTTTACGACTTTTTCGATTATTTACCCTACTGACTGTTAGTCAGTAAATATAAGTCAGATGGGATAAGGATGGTCTCGACCCATTTTTATAAGTGTTTTACAGCGTTCTCATTCCGTTCTTATTCCGTTTTGTCCAAATTCTCTTTCTTGGCAAAAAAAATTAACGTGTCATTTCTCATTTACGGCGTCACGATCCAATATGGCTGAATACTCAAGAGGTTTAATTTTATTAACTGGCAAAAGAAGTTCGCTTATCATAAATTAGAAAAGAAAATTGAGAGTAAAGAGAAATAAAGCGAAACACAATGAATAATTCTCTAAAACTATTTTTTCTTTCCGTTTCTATTGTCCTGCTACTTATATAATTGTCGAAGTAGTGGAAATAACGATTTGCATAAGAAAACGTAAAGCGGTATGCCGTAATGGTTGAATGACCGAAAAATTTCTGGACTTTCTCGAAATTCTTTCTTGCCACGGTCTCTTCCTGTAGTGAGATCGACTTTTAGAAGGCTATCAGCTCCACTCTTTTTCTCGGTTGTGTCCCTTTTTGTAGGAAGAATGGCTCGACGACGTTTCTCGCCCATCTGCGGTGCGTTTACAGAGGCGGACCCCAACAATGGGCCAGCACCATTGTTGTCGCCGACACCAGTCACAATAATATTCACTGATATTTTGGCTTTTCGACAGGCCCCTGGGAATATCCATGTACATCCACACGCCTAACGACAATAACAGATCGTGATATATGTTGCCAAAAAGTTCTTGTTAGCTGTCCCTTAACAATAGACAGCTGCCGCCTTTAATGCATGACTCGGCCAGATTTTACGCCCTGCTAAATATTTGTTTGTCATTTGTTTTTTGCAATTTTTCTTTCGTAAAGAATAAATCGTAAGCAAAAACACTTGGTAGCATGATTGAGGTGTGTTCTATTGGTTTAACGTGTGATAATCCTTTTATGGATGCTTTAACTTTATACCTTTTTTATATACCTTTTTAATACATTACGTTTCTATTTTACTTAAAAAAAATAGTTTAAAGGAACTTAAATGTTCTATCAGAGAATGGCGAAACAAATTGGCGAAATTCGCGAAGTTTATTGATGTATCATAGATCACACCAAGGCACACAAGTAGAGTTTCCAATGTCAAGAGAATTCCCATATAGAATTTATAGCGGGGCAAGTCATTTGAATAATTTTTATCAGGTCTCAGTTGAAACCATTGTCTTGTAAAAAGACGGTCTGAAATATAGCTGAAGATACATGGAGAACACCCAGCTTCCTTCTCTCTGTGTATTTCTCTCTTCCTCCCGCTTCTCCCGCTCTCTTTCTCTCCTCTCCTTCCATTCGCGTGCCGTCTCTCTTCGTGCCGCTTCGGCATTTCGGTCTCAAAGTCAAACGAGAGTTTGGTCGCTTTTCTGAAACCCTCTCAAAGAGACAGAGAGAAAGAGGAAGAAGCACACTGAGATGGTTACCGTGCTGACCGAATGGATGGAGGAAACATTCCACGGGGGGTACATGTTCCTCTATAGGGTAAAGATCTGAGATAACTGGACTTCGCATCGCCTTCATTCTCCTCGTTTTGTCTCCCTTCTTCCTGTATTGGTTCCGCCGTTTCTTGCACGGAGTAAACCACACGAGTTTGTAAAAGACTTTAAAACTGTTGGATTCGCTCCTTAAGATATATAAATAAATATTTTTAGATTATATAAAAAATTTTATATTATATATAAAACTTTGAAAGTTCTAATAAAAATTAATTTTTTTTGATAAAAAATTATGCATTAATTATCTTTCAAAAACGTAAATTACTATTAGAGTAAATGAAACTAATTCGTTATTTGTTACTGCAATCCATTTTTCTTGATTCTCTTTTTACTGAGTAAGAACAAATAAAACGGTAAAATGGTACCGTTTTAAATTACATCAAGCGATCTTAAAGAAAAGATTTAAAGATGACAAAGGTAACCTGAATATCGACAAACCTGCGAAAAACCTATTTCCTTTTGACGCGCAGTGTCTTTTCGGAATGAACCCTAACATAAGTGACGGTATCGTTTAAATCACGGAGTCAGTGACAAAAAAGATAAACTTGGAAATCTTTATGACCTGTTCAAGAGTTTAGTTTGAAGCCGCCATTCGTATGGCTTCATGGGTAGTCCAATAAATAAAATAGAAAATAGATGGAGTCTGATGGCTAATAATTTATGGAAAACTCATTCCGCCATAAATTATAATTAAACATTTTGGATCACCAATGATATTTGCAAATAATAACGTATTTACTTGCTTCATTTCCTTCTTTGTTTTGCAAATATTTGCAATTATCGTTGATAATTTTAGTGATTAATTGCAAATCAGGAAATAACTTTATAGACTTTTGATTCCACACAAATGTATTTCCTCAATTTACTCAATAATCCATAACCTTTATACAGTAATCTTGTTTTGATATTAATATTTTATACTTCTTCAAATTTGGAAAATTACAAATTTACATACTTACTTGAAAATTGATGGCATTTATATTGAAATCCGGATGTTGCTCCAAGAATAATCGAGCTTCAGTAACACTTCCATCGTCGACAATTTCGAAGAACTTTTTCTCAAGTTCTTGCAAATGCGGAAACATCACACCAGGCTGCAATAAAATAACCTTAAAATAAACCTATCAGGGATGTATCATATTATATTTATATTTTTTACATTAAAAAGGTTAAGTAAAGAGAAAGAGGGGGAGATAGGGAGAGAGGGAGAGAATCGTCTTTTTCAACCCTTTATTTAATCTTACATTTCCAAGTTCGTCCTCTTCTGTTCCGGCTGTTGTCTCATTATCCGTCATCACGAGTGATCGCTAAATTATATTTATTTCTCACGATTATATAAAATAAAATCTATTTTTGAAATATAAATCCAACCGCTCGAAAAATTCAGACATTAAATATAAAAATTTTTTAGAACAAAAAAATATCATAGATATTCTTTATGTTAATTACATTTTGTTTCGATCTATTGCAGTATAAAGTTGAAGTTGCTTTCATAGAATTTTTTAAGTAAATTTCGGAAGAATATATAGAGTAGTGCATCATATGTATTATATGACTTTCTTTGTTTAAATTTATAACTTACTTATTTAATTAAAAAAAGTATTAAATTGTTGTATATATGAAAATAACGAGACGATTATCTGCTTTCGTTAATAATGTAATTCAGTTTTTTGGGAAGGGGTATATACATAATTTATAATTTGTTTGTGTGCTACAATATACAAATAATAATAATAATAATAATAATATAATTGAAATAATAATAATAATTATAATATATATAAAATAATATTTATATATATATATATATACACGTATGTATATATATATATAATAATATATATAATATTTTGATGATAATTTAAATTATGTTTCTTAATGAAAAATAATTTCTTAATAATTATTAAAATAATTATTAACTTTTGTTAATATATTGATTATAATTGACTATTATTAAAAATATGACACGGCGAGAGTAACGCGACTTAATATTATTATACAGCGGTACTCGATAGTTACTGCCACGACTGAGGGTGACAATATCTATTTTTTTTTTAGTCGCATTTTCTTTGCACTTTCTTTCATTTGCACTTTCGAAAGTCCAAATCTATACTAATTTTGTTTCAAAAGAAAAAAAGTGCACCTCGATTGAACGGACGCATAATTACAGTTTTGGATACATTAAATTATGAGATACAAGCAATGTTAAAAGAAGCAGGTCACATCCCTTTCTCATTGCGCACAACAAGAGGGAAACATAAAAAAGCAGGATATATACAAATTAATCTTTTAGAATATTTAAATACAATACGCTTTCTCGTTATTCGCATGTACATCCAGAAGATTATTTGGAATAACATTACAATAGAACAGTCGGCAATTATCTTACACACTTTTTCCATGACACAAAAGTTTCCTTTGATATCTTAGAAACAAGTATATCGGACGAGATGCACACGAATCGCGAATATTAAAAAATATAGAAAAGAAATATTTGTATATCAATATATTGTATACATACATTTAAAACGTGGAAGAGAAAAGTCCCGATTTTCCCTAAAGCTCTGTTTTTCATCTATTTTTTATTGTCCTAAAGATCTAATATGTGCTACACGTCATTCGGTGAACACTAGTAGGTCACTGGCCAACTTTATGTCTTTCGCCTACGACGACGTCTTTTGTTCTACGTATTAAATATATGCGTTTCTCTCGAAACGATGATTCCATCCCCACGGTCGTACATTAACTATCTTCAATACACGATACTCGTGTAATCGGAATCCACAACAACGATCCATAAAAAAAAGTTTCGAGAGACAAGGCGACGTCCCGATGATTAATCAATATCTAAGTTTCATAGCTCCAAAGTCTTTAGAACGTGACATTCGCGTTGAGCACTTAAGTTTGTCTTTAAGGATTCACTCTACATTTTGCACGAATTCTTTTGCTTCGAATCTCAGTTGTAGATCATTTTCGATGGCAACACGTAGAAGGACAGTGAATAAAGCATCGATGCGTACCAATAGATGCCCTCTTGCTCTCCTCTCATCGTCGACTCTGTTCTGGACATATCGTTATGTCTTGTCGCAAAGTGTTTTACGTCGTCCAACCTTTGCAGGAAAAAGGATGTCACGCTGTGCCAAATCCTTAGCGGTAGGAAGGAGTAATGTGCTAGCGACTGACTGTTGACGATCGCGTAGCAGGATGCGACGACGTCGTCTACGAGGAGATTACCCTCCATCGTAAGCGGAGCATAAACTCCTTCCTCAATGACCAATTTCGTCTCGTTGACACTGTCCCATCGCAAACGACTATCCACCTGGTTCGCTGCATCAACGTCGCTCACGAGGATCTTGTCGCCGGGTTGCACGTTGGCGGCAAACACCGAACCACCCTCCACCGGCACCAAATGCGCTGGCGTTAACGTGAGCACTCGGCCAGACTTGGTCGTCAATCGGATGAACTGTCTCCTCTCGGACGGAGAACGATCCAAGAAAGCGATCACCTCGCTGTATACCACGTCGCCACGGGAATCCACAGCGGCGATACGGTCGCCGAGATGCACATCGTCCAACCTCTTCGTACTACCATCCTCCGTTCGGACCAGACTCCTCCCGGGAAAGCAACCACCAGATTTGCCCGCTGAAGATGATTCTGAAAGCGAACGTGCATAGAGAGTTAAAGGTAGTGAAACAAATAAGAAGAAAAAATATTAAAAGAATGAATCTTAAAATAAAAATGTTGAAATTTTTTTAAATACGCGCTCTACAAAGCTAAACAAAGCTAAACAAAGTTTATTATAAAAATCCTATTTCAAGGAAAACTACAGATACAACTACAGATGTAGAAGAAAAATTTATAAATGTTAACATTTAAAAAAAATTGAATGTCTTTTAATGTAATTTTTTGGGATGCATTATGAAAACGAAAATGTTAAGATTACGATGCAAAAAGAATGTATCATCGCAGCGTTCTTGCAATCGTCTGTCGATTAATTAACGTGATTACGATGAAAATTGACGAAGCGTTAAACACGCATGGATAGCGTTCACACTTTTTGTTGCACTTTGACTTCCCTTCACCCTATTGTTTCCCTTTTCGGTCCCCTCAACATCGACTCGTATCGGTTTCGCATCAATTTCTATGCTCGGTTTTAATTCGGATCGACAAGCACGCCTTGATTTATCGGCATTTATTTTGAAATTCGAGACCCAACCGTGGCCTGGAACGAACACAAATTGCTGATTGCTCTCGTATAGGTAAATATCGCCAGATCGAAAAAGAAAGTAAATATACGAGAAGATTCTCATAATTAAGGATTATTTCATTCTGAGGAATAATTCTCGTTTCTTGAAACATAAAAAAGATCTTAAAAAAATATTTTTTTAAATATTAAATTATATATTATAACGATGCTATGATATAATTAAATTAGATGACATATTTTTGATTCGCGTCGTTTTTGTCAACTTTAGTAAATTAGAATGAGATTATAGCATGTATAAAAAGAGACATTATACATATATACTCATTTTTCTCATTCTTGTTTTAACAAAATTGCTCGTAGCCAGATTCTCTTATAGGATCTCTAAATATACTGCAAGAGCCATCTTTTGGTGTATTTAGAAATTTCTTCCATTGTCTTATTGTTTAGCATATATGACAGAAATGTAATATATTCTTTTCATAATCTGTTTGAGATTTATAATTTCTTGCAGATTGTTTTTCATTGACGAAGCAATAAAAAAACTGATAAAATCGTATTACTTTTTACTTATGTTATTTGAGAGTTTTCAAAAAAATTTGGTGATTCACATCTCAATTCGAATCGAATTGAATTCAATTTGAAGCTAATAATAACATTTATATAATGAATTTCTTTAAAATTTAATAAAATATCTGAAATGTTGTGAAAGTATTCGAGATATTTCGAATAAAAATATTCAAGTTGTTTAATTAATCGATTATCCGAACTTGAATTGAATTTGATAGAAATAATCGGATTTAATCTGAGTTCGCGAGTATTCACATTAATATTATCGTGCATCGCATGAATTTTCAATGAATGAGAGAAGAGTCGGTAAAATAGACATCTTTAAAAATTATGAATAAAGTAGTGGCGCCAATTTTCACGAAAGAATAGACAAATACATGATATTTATTTATTATAATTAGATGTTTGTTAAAAAATTAATCTAATTTGTGTATTTAAAGTACAACGAGATCCTATAATTATTATAAGGTGCGTTCGGAGAGACGCTACTAGCGATATTTGTGTCATTGTCTTCATTGTTTATTAGATGTAAAACAAGGATAGAAAGCATCTATAATAATATCAACAATGTTAAACGATTTTATGTCGCCATATAGGTAATACGTGCACTTAAGGCGCCAAGTCACTTTGTCATTCGCGATTTAAGAACAGCGCGATTTTAGTATCCTTGTTCCATTAAACGATGTTATTATACAACTGCACCGACCTCAGCATCTTTATTGCATAAAACGACATCATTACAACTACTGTCCGGTAGTTTATTCGCTCATCTTTATTGACATGGCGTTTATGCGGGTATTAACGCGAAATGACGCAATTAAAATCCACATGAGGTCCGCGGATTGACCGCTTTTAATGCTCTTGCTCTCTTCGAAGCGACAAGACAATTCGCACATTCTTTTGCATTTGGTAATACGTTTTAAGTGATTTGATGGAAATTACTAACCAGACTTGACGGAGCAATGTATGTGCGACCTGGACTCATAGTAGACCCAATCGAAACCAGCCTCAACAGCGAGTCTCGCCAGCATCCCGTACTTGGAGCGATCGCGATCGCTCGTCGTCACGTCGACGGCACGTCCCTCGTAGTGCAGGGAATCTATCGCATGCATGCCTTCCTCGTCCCAACCTTCGACAACTCGTAGTTTCACTCCGGGCCACTGGTTCATCACCGAGATCGCCAAAGTGTTAAGTTTCTCCTTGCACCTCTGTAATATTACATTTCAAGATTGGTAACAGATCGGTAGACTATCATTATTCTAAGGACAGAAACAGCAATTACAATCATTTTTTTTTTAATGTAAATGTATATGACTTAAGTTAATCTTGAAAATTTAATAGCAAGATTTACAATGCATTTGTTTAGACAATATGGTGGACATGAAAAAACACTATATCATCTAAGCTTATTTTAATGCTATAAGCTCACAAAATCTGACACGTTGAAATGTATTTTTAAGGATTTAAAGTATTGCTCTAGACTTTTTATTTACATATTTCTCCTAGCCTACTTTCAGAGGACTTTTTCTGGTATTATTTAGAATTCAGGTTAAGTATACATTCGGAAATTTAAGATTAGAACTGGTTTTCATTTTTCTCAGCGAGAAACTCTTTCATCTCAAACCACTTTTCCGGTTAGTTCCATTTAATAGGATTTCCGTCACATTTGAAAATATCGTGCAGGACGGTCCGCCTTGGCTCGGTCCAAACCTGGGAATTCAGCCGATTTCATGGTGCACACGGAAAAAGGGGGTCTTCCTCGTGACCAGTGGCGTCAGGTACAGAGCAATCGTTCCGTCGCGAGAATCGCTGGTTAGGAAAACGAATGCGTATTTTGACCGGTTATAAGATCGGTCCGGGATCTTTAAGAGACTTTAACGGACTCAGATCCGTGGCGAATCAGCGGGCAAACAGGAATATAAATACGGCCGATGTCGAGGATCATTCAGTCACGCCGAGCCGCTTCCTCTCTTCTTGCCTGGAATCACTTCTCTCTCTCTCTCTCTCTCTCTTTCTTATTGTCTACTTTTACGTCGACGACGACGACAGCCAGGCGGTGCTGCAGTGAGTCAATAGGATACGCGTTCTCGTAACGAAGCATGGATAGCCGACTCAGTGAGACAGGGGCTCCAATAGCACAGGACCCATGTAAACCCGGGCTTAATCCGGAACGCGGCGTATCGAGGGCGCGAGAAGCCAAACGCAAGGGAGTCCCCATTGACCGAAGCCGCGGCATTGTCGAAGGGCATTCGAAGCGTCCGAGGCCCGTGTTCAAATTGATTCTCAGAGGGCAATCGCCCACGCAGAGCAGTATCATGCGGCTGACTGATCAGGACACAGACAAACCCGCTTGTGCGTGAACGCGCTCGGTGTAAATCGAGCGGGTTCTCTTCCCCGGAGTTGCCAAAGAGGCCTCCTTTTGCACTTTTTATTCCCAGCCGAGTGTGCGGAAGAAAGTAATTTTCGGGAGAGGGCACAATTGACTCTTGGAGGAGTAAGGGAGAGGGAGGTAAAGGGAGCCAGAAGCCATCGTGAAGAATCCATCCGTCGTGAGGAGCCTGTCGATCGCGAAAACGCGCTGCGGCCGCGACGAATTTTACACGCTCCGGCGGAGTTACCATCTCACCCCTTTTCATTCTCGGTGGTATTTCAATGGCGGTATGTAACTCGATGGTGTGCGTTGAACACGAAGCAGATCGGTCTCGCAATCCACGCGGCCACAATGAGACCCGTTCGACACTAACCGAGAATGGAACGGAGCTAACAATGTCCACGAATTTGCAGCTTTCCTTGCGGCAATTAGCCCCTATTGAGTGCAGACGACGGCCCTTTCGTCCCTCTCGGGGGACCGGTCCCACCTTTCCTTCTCCACCTCTTCTCGCCTCCTTTTTATTTCCTCGTGCTCATGGACTTGGATCCTCTCGCCGCACCGGTGGAAACCTTCGCGCTACGTGCATGCGATTGCCGCAAGTGAATTGCACGGCTGTCGGATGAATTTCCATTAAAATCCCTTAGATTCAAATGAACTTCTGCGAACGTCATATCTAAAACTGATCCGCTGAATAGGTGCCCTTCAATTCCCTCGTGTATAATACATTTCGCGAAATTTATAACCGAAGTTGATGGTTCAGCTAGAAATATCTAATAATATGGTCGACGTTCGATCGACTTGGCATACTTCCGGCGTATATAAATGAAGGATCACCGTCATGCTTCGCTTGGAAAAATCCATTTAAAATGAATCGATCATTTTATGGTGATTGAAATAAGACATTTCTACCTCATGCCGCTTCCGTGTAAAGATATCGTCGAACAAATTATAAACAATATAAACATAGAATGTGTATTTCGATTTCACCTGTTACCAAAATATTGGATACATATTCTTGATATAAAGATTGTAATCAAAAATCGATCCTCGAAAATTTTCTCATGCACCTTTGGCTTTCGTGTGTATAGTCCTCGTACTGCACGATGAGAACCGAGGTAATAGAGTATGAGAATGACGACGGAGAAGAAGAAGAAGACGAAGACGAAGAAGAAGAAGAAGAAGAAGAAGAAGAAGAAGATGGAAGAAGGGGAGGTATAAAAGGCTGCGAAGGAGTCTCATATAAAGAGAGGGAAGAATGGTGAAGGGCCCAAGAGATATATCGGCCGTAGTGCGCTATGGGGAGCCTTGTTCGCACAGCAGGGTACCCCCTGGGCCCCTCCCAGACTTTACATCTATTTACAAATATTTTGGCGGAGTTGAAGAGATGCAGGATATGATGGAGTGAGAAGGAGTGCGCGCGGTCGGCCAAAGCCGAGAATGTCGAGGTCTTATGAAAATCCATTTCGAGTAAAAAATGACCCGGCCCGTAATACATTAGGAATAAGGAGCGTTGCGCGAAGGTGTGAGAGGGTGGGGGAGGAAGAAAAGAATTACGGGGCGGAAATCGAAAAAAGTTCAGCCGAGTGCTTGTACGCGCGCCGAACGCTCCCGAAAACGACTGTTCGTGTGAAACGCAAAAGAGAAGCCGCGGCTTTAGTTCACAGAAAGGACCTTAATGGAATTGGGCCAATCCCAATTTCTGTAAGAGGTATGAGGATGAAAGTTTCCTGGAAATCGTTTGAAGGAGCATCGTCATTCGGAATATCGCTCGGCCACTTATTATAATGGTTCTCGATCTAATCGGAAAATAAAACAACACACGGCTAACAATGTGGCAAATTTTGCTGTTGTACTGTAAAATAATGTGTGTAATGAAACACACCTTGTTATTTGTAAAAGTTTATCGATATATACTTTTAGTTCCTACGAAGGTAAGTTAGATCCAATTAATTTTTATAAGGTACAAATAAAAGGTTCACACATACATACACACACGCACATACACATATGTGATGTTATAAATAGTGGGCTGCCAGTAGCTGGGAAACCAGTCAGGTTGATGGGAGATGATGAGTCGCGTCGTGTGAAGGGTGCTCTCTTCGTGTTCTGCCTCGATGTTATTTTATCTCTCCTTCATCACTTGGCCCCAATGGCCACTAATTACGAAGCGCATGTCGCTTACACCTCGTTTACATATTTCGTATCTTATCGCTTAAACGTGTGGGTAAACTCGTGTTAACTCTCGCGCGTCCGCGATTTCGCTCGCGTGCATGCGTTCTGTGGTATATAATCAACGTAGCGACATTAAAGCGATATTAATTTCCCTGTTTTGGCATGATACTAATTGCCCTCGGTGCATGTTACGGCTCGTTAAATCTCAGATAACGTCCGCGAAATTGTCGAGCCATCGCCGAGAACAAAGAAGTGGGACGTCGAGACAAACGACGTCGGAGTGTTGCCGAACAGTTGGAGACGCTGGCCAAGGGTGTGGAGGTCAAGGAACAGAAGGAGGATGAAAAGAAGGAGGATGAAAAGATAGAAGTGGAAGAGAAAGAGGATAGAGAAAGATGAAGAAGAGAAGTACGTTAAAGTAGAAGAAACGGCGGGAGCAAAGGAACCCGAAGATGGGCCACGTACTGCTGCCTCAAAAGGGGGTTGGGTCTGGTTGAATCCGAGATGAAGGAAGATGGTGTGCGAAGCAGGACTGGGCTCCATACCAGCATCCGCAGACGGAGCCCCGCCCCCACCGGTTTCTTCTCCGTTTCTTCTCCACCTCCGGGCCCGCTCTGGCTTTACCTTCCCGCGGCCAGGCCAACCTTTTATTCCAATCTTCTTGTTTTAACGTGCTCGTTGCTTTACCCCCTCCTCTCTCGCGATCCACCACCCTTCGCCTCCTTCCCGACATTCCCGCCGTCCGCATGCCGGCCGCATTCGAGGGCCTCGGGAGTGGGTCCCCAATGTTCCATTCACCGTGCAACAAAACGAACCGCCCAGGCGTCAGCTGATCTTCCAGGAAGCCACTTCCGCCTCGACGGTAACCCTCGTGACACCCACACGGCCGACGTCGTGTCCGTACTTTTATCAATTCCGCTGATCGCCAAGGATTTAAATTCTCAGACAGTGAGAAGAGTCTCCGCAGCGCGCGCGAACAGTTTCAAGTCCTTTTATGGACTTTTAAGATTAACTATACATCAAAGCTACCATTTCTCGCTTCCAGATTTTTATGAAAATTCTTACAGCCCTCTTTCAGCCCTAATTCCTCTTTCTCTTCGTATTATTGGTTCGTCTCGATTAATCGACGACTATAAAGGGACTATCGAAATCAGACGCGATCGGTGCACGAAGGACAATGGCCCGGGACCAAAGAGATGACACGGCAACAATGGTAGTCGTGCTTTCAGAGAGAATCGTGCGAGGTGCATCGAGTGTTTGTCGAGCTCTCTAGATGGTCCCAGCAGTAACGACTGAAGAGCAATCCCTGCGCCGGAACGACCTATCTCACGCTTCTCTTCATCTCTTCCTCCTTCATCTTTATTCTGATTTCTTTCGCCTCGTAGCTGTTCATTTGTATGCCGTACGAATCTACATTCTTTGTTTTAGCAGTTCGTCAAACAACCGAATGTCTCCTCGAGTTTAACTCCACGAAGATTGTGAATTGAAAATTCAATCCACAGTGGTTAATTTTTTTTCAGGCTATTAGTCAAAGCAAATTTTATTAAGCGCAGCTTATTCGTATGGAAAATAAAAGTGTCAAAATATACATGTATTTAATATTTCTAAATTCTTCGTAGAAAAAAATTATAATCTAGAATAAAATTTATAATATTATTTCTTCAA